AGCTTTTTTTCGACTGAAAATGATGTTTAGGTACTGAGAACGAGTGGCTGACTCGAATCATGACTCATGCGTCGAGCGGATGAAGAAGAAGAAGAAGAAGAAGAAGAAGAAGAATTTGCCATGGCAACTAAGCTAGTGAAAAGCAATAAGTCGGCAAACTGCACTACGTGCAGTCAGCCGACTTAAAGAAGAATTTGCCATGGCAACTAAGCGAGTGAAAAGCAATAAGTCGGCTCTGCCTGCACTTCGTACAGTCAGCCGACTTAAAAAAATCAAAATCTGTGTAATTCATAATAGAATAATCATAGATTATCACATATGATTGATTAATATATAGTGAAGAAAATAAAACTTGATTATAAATCATATATATAACTCCTCGTTAATTATGATTACATTATATAAAATATACTTTTTTTAACAATTAAAAAATTAATATTAAATTGAGAATTTAATTAAGAAACATTTAGCATCATTGTTATCGTGTTAAAACGTGGAAACACGATATCGATATAACTGCTTTACTATGGAATAAAGTTACCTATGTAAACTTAGGTTTTATTCCCTTTTATGAAACAAACAATATTACATAAGAAAATGTAGATATGTTGGTTTCTCTGTCCTAATCAATCAGAAACGAGCTTTTCTATTTTTTGACTTTTGCCCGTTTTATAAAATTTTCCCGTCGGGTTATCAAGGACCACGGATGCAAATCTGAGACTGGATTTCGAAGACAAGATTCCATTTGGCAGAAACTTATGCAATGAGAAAGGAAATTTTCTGTTGATACTCGTTTTTAGGTGTCATGGATAGTGTCCGACATTTTGAGTCACGACCATGACCAAAATGTCAAGCATTAGTGAAGACAAAGATAAAAAAAAAAAGGATTTGCATTCAACGAAAAAAATTCGAATATGAATAACACCATTATTATGATAAAGAAGTCAAGTTTTAACTGTTTTTTTAATCACAAAAAAGAAAAAGAGAAAAATTTCTCCTTTTTTTTTATCTCTATAGACGATTACATATATCAACAGATGCACTTATTTCTACCAATCCAAAATAAAATGATTCAATTTAAGATCTTTTTGTTTTTTATAGTGTATATCGCTATGTTGCCACCAATGAAACTGATATGTCAGTTGTTATAAAGATAAAAGAGTATTTAGACATTTTTATTACACAAATGAAAAGGTTGAATAAAGAAAAAATATCATTTTTTTGATTATTTCTATGGATGAATTCAGGTGGACACCAGGACAACAAAGAAGGGTTAATCAAAATTGAAACGATATATAATGATATCATTAACATTGTTGGTTATTTTTATTTTTATTTTTAAATTTCTTTTGTTTCTATAAATATGAATAAATATAAAATGACATTTGAAGTAGAAATCTATATCAATCAGTTGAATTATCAAAGATACTTTGAAATTTGTGCGGTTATTTTTGTCTGAGTTTTTATTTAATTACTCTATAATATATTTTCAAAGTTATTTTTAATTTAGAATTTTTTCGAGAGGAAGAAAATGTTTAAATAATCTTCTAAAATTTTTAATCATCATTATGTTTGATCTTTGCATGAATTTTTGAATAATTTCAATTATATCCTCTCTCTTAACTATGACATTTAATTAATATTGTATTCAAGTTGAAATATAAATAATAGGAGGAGATATTATTTATTGTAATAACAAATAAATGAATGTTTGTTTTTATTTTTGTTTTTGTTTATTCTTCATCTGACATAGAGTTGAACTTTGTTCCGTAAGTTGAAAGATGGCTGGAGACATCTGGATGTTTTTCTCTTTATAAATAGAAAACAAAAAATCTGATAAAAAAAAAACACGTGAAAATGTTGTACATAGCTAAAAAGTTTATTCTAAAAAAAAAAGTATAAAATGAAAAATAATTGTTCTATATGTCGTATTAATATTTAAATAAAACAAATGAGAAAAATTCTAAAACAGATGTCGGTGTTTTAGAGAAATAAATAATTGGAGAATGTACTTCTAGGTCAAATTATTTTCTTTTTCTGTTTGTTTCTTTTATTTGATAAACTAGTTTTGAGGAAAGATTGCTCATGTATCGACAATTATTTTCTGCTCGATCAAAACTTCTCAATATAAATATAAATGGACGATCTCAGGTATATTATTTTTGTTTTTTTAAAATTTATTTATTTATTAAATTAATTTAATAAATAATAGGTATTGTGTTTATCATCATTGCAATCTGAATGGAGTAAATTAGCAACAAAACAATTAAAAAAGGTTCCTTTAGAATCGCTCAATGTAACAACATATGAAGGAATTAAATTAAAACCATTATATACATCAGATGATGTTAAAGGAAAAGAAGAAATACCCGGTGCATATCCATATACTCGTGGTCCATATCCAACAATGTATGCTCAACGACCATGGACTATACGTCAATATGCCGGTTTTAGTACAGTAGAAGAATCAAATCGTTTTTATCGAGCGAATTTAGCTGCTGGTCAACAAGGTCTTTCAGTTGCTTTTGATTTAGCAACACATCGTGGTTATGATTCCGATAATGAACGTGTTAGTGGAGATGTTGGAATGGCTGGTGTTGCTATTGATACTGTTGAAGATATGAAACAATTATTTGATTCAATTCCTCTTTCATCTATATCTGTATCAATGACTATGAATGGAGCTGTTTTACCTGTTCTTGCTATGTATGTTGTTGCAGCTGAAGAACAAGTAATTATTATATAATATTTTATTCTTTTTTCTTAATAATGTTTATATATATATATATATATATAATAAAATAGGGAGCAAAACAAGATCAATTAACAGGAACAATTCAAAATGATATTTTAAAAGAATTTATGGTTCGTAATACATATATTTATCCACCTGAACCTTCAATGAAAATAATAGCGGATATATTTCGATATACATCAAAAAATATGCCTCATTTTAATTCAATATCAATTAGTGGTTATCATATGCAAGAAGCTGGTGCAACAGCTGCACTTGAATTAGCTTATACTATTGCCGATGGTCTTGAATATTGTCGAACTGGTTAATTTATATTTATAAAATGAAAATAAATAAATTTTATTCTTTCGATTTTTTGTTTTTAGGTATAAAAGCTGGTTTATCTATTGATGATTTTGCTCCACGACTTTCATTTTTTTGGGGTGTTGGAATGAATTTTTATATGGTTTCTATTTAATTAAATATTAATATTTATACATATATATATATATATATATAATTAAATTTTAGGAAATAGCAAAACTTCGAGCAGCTCGTCGTTTATGGGCTAATTTAATGAAAAAAAATTTTTCACCTAAAAAAGCTCAATCAATGATGTTACGTTGTCATTGTCAAACATCGGGATGGTCATTAACAGCTCAAGATCCATATAATAATATTATTCGTACAACATTAGAAGCTTTATCAGCTGTTTTTGGTGGTACTCAATCACTTCATACGAATTCGTTTGATGAAGCACTTGCACTTCCTTCAGTTCAAAGTGCTAGAATTGCAAGAAATACTCAAATTATTTTACAAGAAGAAACTGGAATTCCTAAGGTTAAATATAATAAAATAAAACTAAAAATAATTTTTAAAATTTAAAATTTAAAATTTATAATTAGATTATTGATCCTTGGGGTGGATCTTATATGATGGAATCATTAACTGATGAACTCTATACGAAAGCTGAAGAATTAATAAATGAAGTTGAACAAATGGGTGGAATGGCTAAAGCTATTATTGCTGGTGTACCAAAATTAAGAATAGAAGAATGTGCAGCTAAACGACAAGCTATGATTGATGATGGAAAAGAAACTATTGTTGGTTAGATTTTATTTAAATAAAAATAAAAATAATTTTCTTTTTTTCTTTTTCTTTTTCTTTTTCTTTTTCTTTTTCTTTTAAAGGTGTTAATAAATATAAATTAGAAAAAGAAGATCTTATTCAAGTTCTTCAAATTGATAATCAACAAGTTCGACAACAACAAATTGATAAAATAAAAAAAATTAAACAACAACGAAATCAATCAAAGGTTTTATTTTATTTATTTTTATTCAAATAAGAATATTTGTTAATAGGTTGATGAATGTCTTGAAAATCTTCGAGAAATCGCTCGTGATAAATCAGGTAGTGGAAATTTACTTGAAGCTGGTATTAAAGCAGCTCGAGCTCGTTGTACACTTGGAGAAATTTCACAAGCATTAGAAGATATTTTCTGTCGTCATGTTGCTGAGTCACGTCTTGTCAGTGGAGCATATAAACAAACTTTTAATGATGGAAAAAATAATGATGAACTTAAACAAGTTACGGATAGAGTTGAAGTTTGTATTTAATTAATTTTTTTTTTTTTTTTTTTATTTATTTTTTTTTTTTGTTTTTTAATTTAAAAAGAAATTTTTGAAAATCGATGGTCGACGTCCTCGAATACTCGTTGCCAAAGTTGGACAAGATGGACATGATCGAGGAGCTAAAGTTATTGCATCAGCTTTTAGTGATCTTGGATTTGATGTTGATATTGGACCTTTATTTGCTGTAAGTTATTTTATATATTTACCGATGAAAAATTATTCTTAATAGATAATGGAAATTTTTTTAATTTGATTAGTTTTTTAGGTATTAAATATTAAATCATAGATATAACCTACTGATTGCTTTGAAAGTTTTTTTTTGGTCACAACTTTTCGAATTTTAATTTATTCGTTTAAATGATATAGATCTATATTATCTATAGATAAAGGTCAGATATTATTATATCTATTTCATTAAATGTATATATATTTTACTGAACTGAAACAAAGTTAATTCTATAATTTAAAGATAGAAAACAATCTCTCACTATCTCAAATAAATCAACAGATATTTCATTTGTTAAAGTTTATTTTAATAAATGATAATATTCAACAAGTTGAACTATCTATTATTGTTCAATCTTATTCAACTAATTATAAATATCATTATATTATTATTATAAATGATTAGAATCATTGTGAAATTTTGTTGTTTAATAATTATTTAGTGTAAAATAAATATACTTTTAATTTTAATTGAGTCAGTATAAGTTGGAGAATGAAAAGTTTTTTTATAAGCTTTTATCAAAAACATTTAGACGATAAATCAATACTAAATTATATAACAGTTTCTTTCTCTACAGACAATTTCAGGAAGCAATTCGAACTTATTGCTTTTTAGAATTTTTCACGCCTTCATATTATGCTATAATAAGACTACTTAATGCAACATATATAGATATATTTATTTAATAAGATTTTTTAGTTGATTTAGGATATTTGACCCAGTCTGATGATTTTGTTTATTGTCATCTTGATGAAAACCCATTCGTTGATATATATTTAATATTGTATTATTTAAAACTTTCTCCTATTAGAATAATTGATCTTGAAAGTTTCCTGTTGGATGAAGATGAAGATAAAGATGAATAGTCTAATTGTAAATCAACTTTAATATTTGTAATACTGTTTATATGATAGTTAATGACTTTTATTGAAAGAACTAAAGTTCAATTTGATTGATTAAATTTTTTTTTTTTCCATAAAAATAATAATATTAATTTGAAGTTGATAATGTCCTGTCAGATGATGCAATATTTAACCTTCGATATATAATGATTTTGAGAAAATGATTAAGATTTTTATGTTGAAATATTCATTATTGAGAAATGAGAAATAAAATATATTTTTTCAAAAGTTTATTAATTATCTTAGCAAATAGAGTTTATGTCAATAATGATAAAAGGCTTCGGGAATTTGTAAATCAACTATGGATCGAA